CTCCCTCTATACCTTCCTCCCTTTCTCTATACCTTCCTCCCTCTCAACTCACCTCCCTTCCTCTCCCTGTACCTTTCTCCCTTCCTGTGTACCTTCCACCCTCCCTCACTACCTTCCTCCCTCCCTCTTTATCTTCCTCTGTTCCTCTCTATCTTCCTCCCTCCCTAAAAAAAAACATACCCCAATTAAACGTGTCATTTCAACTGTTCTGTTACTTCTGTGCCCAAAATGTCACCCCTATCATTGATAACTATGCTAGACTGCCTAATTCAGCTGTCAAACGTATCCTAGCATGTGTAAAGGACAGAAAAACAGACTTACAGACACTTACAGGCAAATAGAAAGTCAAATATTTAGACAGTCATACAGACAGACTGCCAAACAAGGTCCTTTACAGATCTTAATAATCTAAAGTAGTAATATTATTCATTACCTTCCCCTTCCCATTCTGTAGTTTCAGAAACACATTCGAGCAGTTCAGCACGTCATTTTTTGTCATAACAACCTCAGGCCAACTCAGAAATACGCCATATCTGAGTAGCTTCACTATCAGACTGGTTGAGTTCTTCAAAGGTGGTTTCCACTGGCACAGATACCCACAGACAGCCCTAGGACCGCGAAGTTTAGGACGCTTATCAGCGAATTCCCTATAGTGCTGGAGCCCTCTTCGCTTTTAATCACAGCAACCATCATTTTCTTCTTGCTGTGACCGATATCTCTTAAGCATACATAACCAGGAGTATTGTGATAACTCTTCTCAAGACCCTCAAGAAAAGTCAAACAGCCCAGTAATTTAAAGTCCTTTACTATCAGCAGAAGAACAAGGCTTTGGCTCCTGCGAGAGATCTTGGTTCTCTGGAACTTTCACATCAACCTCTGGTGGTGTTAATTGAGTGCTAGTTGTGGGAATTCTATTTTCATGGGTGTTAGTGTCTGCCATACTTTGCATGTTCTTAGGAGTAGATAATCCCTTTAGGCAATCTATAAGGTACTATATTTAGGGCCTGTTTACATGGAGGCGGGATACTCCAGGTAAGTGAGGTAACAGCGCCTGGCCGTCTAAATCCCTAAATGTTAGAAATGCAGACATATTATCAGTTTGTTTGGCATGCAATGTACTATGATGAAATAGTAACAACAGTGAATAGAATAATTTCGAAACTGTTAAGATGTTATCAATGGCAGGAAACCATTAACCACAGATTAGGAGGAAACATGAACGGACGAACGGTAATCCAACCGCGTGGGAAGTGGAAACGAAGTTGGCGCCAGATTCCTCACTTCCCGTTCAATATGGCTGCAGTAAAGTTGTTTTGTCGGTTTACAGGATTTTGAGGTAAGGCAATTACGAACAGAACGTCTTGGGTTTAAACGAAGTATTATATCCATCCCTTCTTTGCGATGCATAATTATGAAAATCTCGTCGTTAAACTAAAATCATCAAACCACAAGCCACGCTTTTTGGTGTGTCTTTCTAGCTTGCAAGTTCAGCGTGGTAACCCAGTGATTGTAACGCTTTCAGCGACCAAAAACAATTCAAAGCGAGTCGTCACTAGAGCCGTGTCACTAAAAAAGTGTTGGGACTATTTTAAGAGTTGTTAAATCCCGTAAACCAGAGTGACGGTTAACGGCGACTGAAGAAGATTAATAATCGAAGCTGAACCTAATTTGACAAAGATGAGACAAAGAGTCGATCAAGCTAAGACATGACCGCTAACTAAAATAACGATTATACAACGAATTTGTATCCTTCAAGGCAAACAATTGTGTAATTTGAGATTAAAAAGTGTGCAACAAACAGTTGTCGATTTAACAATATACTCAAGTAACGATGATAAGCACAGATAAAAGACATTTCTGTCCTAGCGCTCTCGAAGGTAAATGGTGGACGTTCGCTCTGTAAGCATTAAGCCTGATTTTCTCCTTGATTGTTGATGAATTGGTACATATACCATTTTACATTACTTTTACCAGGACTTATGTCTAATCAAACAAAAGAAACCTTCACAACATAAAAAATGCGGGTAACATATTGGTCCCACTTGTGCCAAAGGTTATTAATAGATCAGAGAGTTGCACAGAAGCCATGGAAAAAAAGTCAGAACTTCTGACAAAAAAAGGACAGCAAACTTACCTTTTACATGCACATGATGATGCTTCATGAACACTTGAAAAATAAATAAAAATAAAATTAACCATTAGATCGTTGCTGGAGTGAGTAATTGCATGATCAGCACATGTCAATGACCAAGCTTGAGGTCAAGATGGCTGAATATTGAGTTTTACAATTTGCAACAAAATCATTGCCACAGTGACCTTTGCAACCCCCTATTACTTCAATTTTATCTCCTTTGCCCTTTTTAAGTTAACCTATTTACCCCTTTCCCCCCTAAAAAATTTTATATCATGATTTCATTTACTTCATACAGCTACATACAGGCAACATTGAATAGGGTAGGGGACTAGTCAATGATTTAGAGTGTTGTAGAAACAGGAGTGTTATTCTACACATTAACAGAACTCTTCAAATATAATGTGTCAGCTACTGTTGATGCTGATTGTAGGTCCATAGAAATGCAAAAAGGAAAGATGCTTTGTTCAGCCATGATGACTGAACAAGCTCAGTCAATAAAGGATTTCTTCTATAGAAAAAGGTTTCGCTCTTCTGGATCGAGGCAAAGTTGAAGTTCATCAAAATGCACAAGAAGAACAAGGCTAAAATTGAGTCATTTTGACTGAACAAGCTTGGTCAATAGCAGATTAATTATAAAGCAATATGAATTCACTTTAATAAGAATTAAGAGTGGCTTTTTTTTTTTTTGAGTGCTGGGAAAGATAGCCAACTGTGTTTGTAGTACAATAATCCTACAAAATAGCTTGATGTTTTCTTTGTTTTGACTGTCTTTTTTAGTGCTTTTTTTGACTCCATTGCTGACATTGTCTAAAAATTGCAAACTTTTTAAGTCTATTCCACAAAATCTTTTCTCAAATGAAATCAAAGTACACAATCCCAAGCCCATCTTGTGCATGGGTGCTGTCAGCAGTAAAGTAGATAATAATTGATTAATCGAAAGTAAGTTCTTTTGCTAGTAATTATATTGTTTTGTTATCAGGTAATTGAGTGCCTGGCAAAGATCAAGATTAGAAGCTTGAGGAAGTAGGACATATCTCGATTATGGAACAGGTTGGTTTAATAAAAGCTTTATACTTACTTAGTGGTTGAGCAACAATCCTGAATCATGTTCACAACATTGTTGTATAGAATTTTGAGGTCAGTTTGTGGCAGGCAATGGAGTGATCAATTTCATCTTAAAACACTCTGCGACTTGTACATGCAACATATTATATTTAGATATTTTCACACTTTAAATCCTAATATCTGATTGTTAATTCTCCCATCTAGCTGCTACATATATCCTTGTGAGCTAGTTACAAGAATTTGGTGTTAGTTAAAGATAAACACTTCTACTTGATAAGTTTGAGTATTGTAATCACCTGTTTGGTGGATAATGTTAAGATTGGATATTATAGGGAGAAGCAACATGTTACTCACTTCTAAGAATTAAAGAATTAAGGGCCTCTTTGTATATCTTGGTGAACTGGGCTGGTGTGATTCCACAATCTCAAGACTACAAGCTTGAATTTTTT